CAAAAATTTATTTTAAAAAAAGTAGTAACTAGCAAATGTTTTTTATTAGCTCGCAATTTTCTTCAAAACTACTTCAATGAGGAAAAAAATAAAAATTTGGAATATCTATACATGAGGGGCTAATTGATCGGATCGATCTAACTCGCCGGCAAGGGCTGATAACATGCAACCGCATTTTCATGGGCCACTTCCACCATCGACAACACTCCCTAGCGGCATCTCAATTCTAAAATTTCAAGGTGATCATCACCGAGTCTATCTCTCACATAAAGGAGTGTTTCTTTGCCTATTTCTATGCTTGTGCCCCATTGCTTTGATTGTGAGAAGTGTGGAGAGGCCTTTTTTTTGAGCCACATGTTCCGTCCATAGAGGGCAATAATAAAAAGTCAGAAAAGAAAAAAATTGTACGTGTGGCGGTGTGTGTTCAGCCGGGAGAACAGACGGGATGAGCTCGTGTATACTTCTCTTTTTGATTCATCGATTGCAGAACATTGTCAAATAAATTTGGTAACATTATTGAAAGAGGCCAATATCAATTCAAATGAAATTATCACTTTACTCAGGCATTTTCTCACTCTTTTATACAGTTCCATTAGACTCTAGCGTCTCGTGTGCATGAATACTTGTGTATATGAAGGGTATATTTACATCTGTTGGAAAAAATTGAGAAAAATAAATGTGTCACTTTTTGGTCGAGGCCACTGTGCAGAGTTATTGCAGTTATTGTGCTACATAAAAATACAACTCGTGAAAAAGAAAAAGCCAGCGAGATAAAATTATTTTTGAATTGACTCCAATTATACGGGAACGTTAACCCCATTACGGTGCTCTCTGCCAAAACATTCGTTGCAGTCCCCATTCCAGCGTCTCTGTTCATGGATCTTTCCAATCTGCATCATTTCATTATTTTTTGGAATATTCCATCTGAATTATCTCAATCCATCTGCCAAAATGTAATACAATGGAGTGAAATGAAAAAAATAGCGAATAATTTGTGTTGGTTTTGAGAAAAGTGGAACTCATGGTGTTGGCTATACACATTACTAACCTCCATAGACAGAAATAAGCGGGAAGTCAGTATTTATTCACCATCTGTACTATTCTCTGCAGCATGTATTATTCAAGGTTATCGGCTTATCCCAATAGAGCTCATTGCATTGAGACAATCTTACTTCCATTGTTTTAGATTCTCACTTGAATACTCGAGCAGAACATTTCATGCTTATCTGCATTCTTATTCTTAAATTATTCAACATCCGTGGATGTAATTGTTGAGAATTGGAACGAACTACATTGTAGTTTCTTCACTTCAACATCAATAATATAATTTGTGTGACATTATCACTATTGCGACAAACCTTCAACAATTAGTTGTGATTTTAATTAATTTATTTGACTTTAACCTTTTTGTTTTCTTTTATTGACAGAAATATTGAAATACTGAGTGTGATTACTCTCATAAAGTGTGGGTCATGCGGACCACCTGTAGAGTAATGTAATGAATAGCTGTGCGAACCCTAATACCGGTACGAAGCTACGGGGATCCAAGAGCTCGGAGCTTCGAGAGGAATCATCAGGCAGCACCGATAAAACTGAGGAAAAGGATAAGACGGATAAAAAGGCAAAAAACGAAACAGCAGAGACAGAATCAGCGAGCAACGATTTTGGTGTACCAAAGGGAACACTGGTGATTTGCCAGAAGAACTCGGGAAGCCTTGGTGATCACAGTTTCAGCCGTATCAAGCAGAGAAACAGTTGCGGGACTAACCGCAATGAAGTGCGTATGGCTCGTGGAAGTAACAGTGGTGAGCGAGGTCGAGGGAGAGGTGGGAGAGCATTCAAGAAGGGACAGGATCGGGATGGCAATACAGAGGGCTATCACTCAACGACTAGACAAAAATTTCAAGAACCGTTGAAGAATCAGGACAACTGCTCGAATAAATATTACGATGACAAGAGACTAAACGGTATGATTTGTTGACATTTGTGAGGGGTTTGAGGATATCCAAGTACTTTGGATTTTATTTTTTGTTGGAATCCATTTATTTTGGGTTCAACAACAAAGCTTCCATTTAAGCCTCATTTCAAAATTTTAACGATTTCAATGATTTATTCATGAAAAGAGAATATTTGAAAACATGATATTTGAATGATGCTGAATATTTTTTATTGTTCTCATCCAATTTCATTGACAAATTCGACGATTAGAAAGCTCTGAATCTATAGTGTGGTCTATACTAAACTGTAAAAGGTACTTGGATATTCTTAATTCAATTGCTGAGTTATTTCATTCAACTAGTGACGGGGAAAGAAAATTTTCGAAAATGGAGTCACTCTAAAATGCAAAGACCTGCTGTACCAGTTTTGTATGAAATAATAGTTTTCATTGTTCTAATTTTTCAGACGAATCGAGAATTACGAAACTCTTGAGGCGATTGTGTCGGGAGGATGACTACGACCATTTTTTGCCCCTTGTTAAGCAGGTGCAGGAGGCCATTGTGGCACCTGAAAACTATCGAATCATCAAACGTAACTTAGAAGCAATTTGTGAAACACTTTATGACGTTTTACATCTTGAATTGGGGAGTGAAGCTAAACAGCATACTGCGAAATGTTTTACGCTGATTGGATACACCATCAGTCCAGATTTTAAGAGGTTTGAGCAATTCATGAATTCATCTCCAACCACTTCAAGGTATTATCAAATTATCTCAACGTGTTTTTATTTGACTGATTGCAGATTCTTGGAATGGATCTTTGGAAAATACGCAATTGAACGGAAAGATGATTTGAAATATTTACTTATGAAGTCCCTTGGTGACGTGCTCAAAATGGATATTGAAACTCAAAAGCTGAAGGATTATTCAATGGTAAATACAATTGAGTAGAGTAGAATGACAGTAGATGTTCGAATAATGAATTTGCAGCTCATAATGAGAATTTAATTTAAAAAAGATGCGACACGTGATTTTAAGAGAAAAGAGCAAGCGAATTTTTTGCACCTAATGAAATTTCTCACAAAAAATATATTTCGAATTCCGTTCTAAAATCACTCGACAATTTCGTAATAATTGAAAAATTGAATTGTTACTTTTTAGCACTTTCACTCTTCACGGGAGACTACTATGAGTTTTAAAAGTCGCAGGCGATTGGAGTGAGATTTCTCATACGTTGAAGATCGATTATATATATGTCTAAAATCGAAAAATTAGTATGAAAAAATTAATTGTTCATTGTGCGTATGCCCCGCACACGCTTAAGATGTTAAAAATAGTTCACAGAGGTTTTTCTTTTTTTTTCAAAATATTTGAAAAAATTTGTACAATAATAATTACGAATTAATTTTTTGAAATTCGACTGCTACACAGCTAATTTCGTTTTGTTTAAAATAAAAATTTGCGCCATTTATGTCAAATAGAAACATTATCCTTAAAATGTTTAAAATATATTTTCGATTCTTTTAGAAACGTTTTTCGGGCTATATTACATGAATGGTGCAATTTTTTATTAAAAAATTAATGAAATTAGCTGTGTAGGAGCTTCATTTCAAAAAACTACGTCGTAATTGTTATTGAACGGATTTTTCAAAAATTTTGAACCAAAGAAACCTCTGTAGCTCAAAAATTGGATACCCTGGACTATTTTCAACATTTTAAGCGTCTGCGGGGCAAACGAACAAGACAAAAATATATTTTTTGCACTAATTATTTATTTTTAGACATATATAATCGATCTTCAATGTATGAGAAATCGCATTCCAATAGCCCGCGACTTTTAAAACTCATAGTAGTCTCTCCTTAAATTAGCCTCACCATTGAAAAGTTTAATTATAACATCTGTTTTCATATTTCTATCCTCAAGAGGTCATGAAAACCTCAATAAACATCCCAGAATAACATCAGTAATAGTGCCTGTGTTTCAGGCAATAATGTCACGTCTACAATCGACCCTTGAAAACGTAGACAGACCGGATCTGCTGATGGCAACAGTCGATGCAATTCTAATTGTCACCGACTTGTACCCGGAAACCTTTTCAGATCACTTTCGTGATGCTGTTGACATTCTCGTAGGTTGGCACATTGATTTCACTCAACCCAAATCAGTAGTCGCCTACGCAAGTCGAAGTCTCCAACGTTTGCACGACTTTTGGATTGCTGATCTCCAGTTTACCTTGATGCTGCTGAGTCAATTTTTAGAGGATATGGAGAGTTACGATGAGGAATTAACAATACCAAATTCTGGAAGAAGTTCACCTGGTGAGGAGCCTCCCCCTGGGCCCAGAGAATGTATATTACGAATCACATCGCTGATATCAGTGTTCAATACAGTCACGAAGAGTGTCTCAGACAATTTAAATCCAACTGTAACACCCAGTGTACAATGGTCCTTCCTCACCGAGTGTCTCTCCAAGATGCTTCAAACTGTTGTCAAAGCAATCGAATTGGACGAAGATGCCCTGGAACAATTGGAGGCTAGAGAGCAAGAGAATGAAGCAGTAGAGGATGGCCAGGATCCCAAAGACAACCCTGAGGAGGTGAAGCACTTAACAGACTCTATCAAAGGTGTAACTCTCTCCCAAAAGAACATCGACACTCTGGTGAAGAAAGTGAATGAAGACGGTATCAACGACCAAAAGCACTTCTTCAGAATAATAAAATCAATGAACTCCAGTAGAAGGCGAGATGATAAGAAAAACTCCAAGGCCAGTGGGGATCGAGACAACGAGATAGAAGAGGACAAATTGAGGACTCTTCTGAAGTTATTGAAATCGATTGAACTGAAAAACAAGGAGAGGGGCAAAGTACCTCTGGATCTCTCCCAAGAGAAGGAAGACCTGATCGTAGCAGCAAACGAGTGCATCTGCCACTTCCTGGGTCTCCTTCAGAGTCGAGTGACAAAAAACCACGAATTATTGTACAAATTCCTTGATATTCAACTCGAGAAAATTGATATTTTTCTGGACGACACGATTGTCTCCACCCTGAACCTCATTGCGAAGATAATAAAAGAAGTTTCAGCTAATTTGCCATTGGAACTGGTCCACAAGCTCCTTGGAGGTGAGTCTGTCCTCTTGAAACTGCGATTTCGTCATTCAACTGCAATTCAGGATGCGAGTTTGGTAGTGTATCACAGTTTTCTGGGGCTGAAGAACATCCCTCTGCTCCAGGAGGCTTACAGGTACATTCTGGGAGACTTGGAGATCGCTTATAAACTCATACTGCCTCACTTTGAAGGGCTGGTGTCCAGCAATCCTCTTACAGACGTACAATACAATCAGACAGACACTGAAATCGTAGTCCTCTTCCTCTTGAGAGCCCTCTCTGACCTCGCCAATGCCAGTAACTCCATAATCGGCATGTGGGCATTGAAACCAAGTATTCTCGAGCTTCTGGCCGTGAAAATGATTCCTCACGATGTCGATCTCACCAGAGACAGTCCACTCCTACAAAATTGTATTCTGTTTCTTCTATATGCTCATTGCTCTCGTTACAATCACTTTGTCTCAAGTTCCAGTCTCATCACTGGTCCCAGCAGATCCATCGACATTTTTCCTGGTGCTCTGGAGGTCCCCACAGCCTCGCCAACCAGTGGACACCTCTCCACAATCCTCAATCTCATTTGTAAATGCTTTGAACTCAAGAATATCCCCGAGCAAACGATAATATTACTGTGCAACTGGGTGCAGGAGATTTTCACACAGGCAGAGACTTACCTGGGGATCCTCAAAGACAAAGATGACTTCAAGATGATTGTCTCGAGTTTATTGACTCGTGGAGCCACCACCAGTCCCAGAATTGCTGTTGCTATTGGCAACAATATTGAGATCTTGATGAACGATAAAAAAGTCAATTGGTCAGAGTCTGTGTATCTAGGAGTGATTGATTTATCAATTCTCCACTTGACGTCGTTCGATGCAACAACGAGGAAGAAGTATGGAGCCCTGTTGATAAAAGTACCTGTCAACATCGTCATTCCGAGGATAAACAGGCAAAATCTGCAGTCAGAAACCAAGAAGCTTCGTGCCATCGAGAATTACTCTGTGGAGTCTCTCACTGTTGCTCAAAGACTCCATATGAGAGGGAACTTTGGAGGCTCAAGCAGTAGCTCCGGAAATTCCAGTGGCTCTGGGGAAATGCAGGCTCAACATTTCAAGACATACATGACGTATCTACTTCAGGACTACGATTTTAATGCCATGGGATTGTCAGAGATCTTTACATTGTGCTGGCCAACAGTATCAGAATCAGAAACACTGGCGAAAATGTATAAATTTGGTCTGGCCAATCGTTCGTTTTTGTTTTTCTGGAGTGGAGTGGAGGCTGCTCAACACTGTGTTTTGAATAAGCTGAGAACACCCCTTGGAAAGCCTCAGGAGACATTTACGAGTATTGAGGGAGCCTTGAAGGCTCTGGCCAGAGAGATCTCATGCAAACAAGATAACATGAAGATAGATCAGAGAGGTCTTGCTCACTCCCTTCATGAACACACTAGAGTTAGACTATTCATTGAATTCCTAGAACATTTAGAGAGGGTCATTCACAATGCTGCGGAGGGGTGTGCAGTGGCCCTCGCACCACTTCCAAAACCAGTTAGAACTTTCTTCCATACTAATAAATCCACATGCAAGGAGTGGCTCATTCGAATTCGCCTTGCACTCTGTGTTGTTTCTCTTCATGCTGGTCTTGCCACTAATGCACTGAGAAATGGTCAGAGATTGCTGGAAGATTTGATTGATGTTAAAGTCACCCACAGGGCTGAGTTTGAGAGAGCTACGTTATGCACTGCACAGGCACTAGTTATGTTGGGGGAAACCGAAGCACTTCAAGGTCTTTATCTTTACACGAAGGAGAGGGAGAGGAAGTTTCCATGGCTGAAGGCAGCTATGGAGGAAGCAGCTGGACGCTACGAGAGTGCAGCTGAGAGTTACAAAGCCATTTTGAAGGAGCATCCCTGTCTTAAACTGCAAGAAGCAGAAGCTGAAAATGCTGAAGAGACGAGTGTTGATGGAGATGTTCATGTTGCTGCTTTTGCTATGCAACACTTGACTCGGTGTTATCTTGCTGTTGGAGACTGGACGCAGTTGGAGGCCTGGAAGACGTGGGAGTCTGAAATTCTCAAGAGGGACAGTAATTACTGCCTCAGAAAACAGATCTTGGGTAATGTTGTTATTCAGCAGGCGAAATGTTTGAAGGATTTTGAAGCTGGGAAAACTAGCAGGATTGAGGAACTCTCTGATTGGACTCTGCTGGATGAAAAAGCCAGCACTAACTGGAGTTGCACTAAAACAATGTTAGAATGCTCGAATACTCTGTTCAATGTGGCTATGAGACTTCGTGCTGGCGATGACAACAAAGATTTTTGTTCAGAAAAGGTTGAACTCTGCAAGAGAGTTGCTGCTAAAACAATCGAGGAGGGACTGAGGAACATGCCGTCAGAGTACTTGAGCGACTCAATACTGACAGAATACGCGGCTCAAGGTCTTGCTGATCTCCTGGAAGGCAAGAGTGTCAATGGCTTCGATCTTTCTAATTCTGAGGGAGTGAAAAATCTTGGCTGCAACGTGATGGGACAGATTCTGTGGTGGTCCGACTATTTCTCCACAAGTTCACTCAATTCCACGAATAACGTTGCAAGTTTGAGGCTTAATTTGATCAAGAGTGCACGAAAGGAAGGGAACTTCAAACTTGCAAAACGAGAGATGATAAAATACTTCTCGAAGGAACATTTATTAGGATTTGAATCGAGTACTTCAGCAACTCCAGGAGATTCGGTGTTTTCAGATCTCACAACTAGCATTCTGGATACCCAAATATCAGTCAAATGGACGCAGAACAACATGAGGGCGTTCAGGGAAATGGCCAAGTTGTTGTACAGTATGGAGTCTGTTGAAGAGGCTGTGAAGGTCTGCAGTGTGACAGCACTTGGAATATCAAGGGCAATTGTCGGTGGTGATGAGACTGCAGACAATCTCAGAGAAACTGGAACGAAGCTCATGTTAACTCTAGGTAAATGGATTCAGCAGCAAGAGAAGAACGTGACAGAGAACTCACAGTTGAACGAATTACTGAGATTCGAGGCTGTCCATAATGACGGATTGATGAACAAGTTGTTCGGTCAAACAACAGAGTTGATCCCCCACCCAGACATGGTGATTGGCAAGCTGATGCAACTTGGAGTGAACCAGTGTCCAGAGTTGCCTGAGGCATGGGCAGAGTTTGCTGCCTGGTGCTACAAGTGGGGGAGGAAAATCATAGACAATTCTCATTCAGGACAATTGACTGAAACTGACGTCAACAACATCAGAGCTCTACTGCCTCTCGACAGTCCAGAGGCTGACTCCAACGCAATTCTTGCCATTCTGAGTCAAAATAAAAGTATCCCTGAGGATGAAGGAGATATCGAGACGAATGACATTAAAACTTCTGACATGATTGAAAATCAACTTCGTCAGGTTTCAATCCTAGCTCTCGCCACTAATGAACACTTGAGTCTGCTGGTGGACATCTGGAGACAGGCGCAGAAAAGAATTTACTCGTACTACGAACTCTCTGCAAATGCATATTTCAAGTATTTGGAACTTGCGAATGGAGAGTCGAATGATTGTGCTAGGATAACAGCGACACTGAGGCTTTTGAGGCTTGTTGTCAAGCATGCACTTGAGCTTCAGCATGTCCTTGAAGCTGGACTGTCAACTACTCCCACTGGACCCTGGAAGGAGATAATTCCACAATTGTTCTCGAGGCTAACTCATCCCGAGGCCTACGTCAGAACCAGAGTCTCTGAGCTTTTATGCAGAGTTGCCGAGAACAGCCCTCACTTGATCACCTTCCCAGCTGTGGTAGGGGCATCCTCAGATCACAGGAAGGATTTCGAGGAGATTCCCACGAGATATGAGAGACCTGAGGATTCCTCCAATGATTTTGATTTCGATGTGGACGAGGTTGACATTGCGATTCAATCAGGAAACACCGAGGACTCTGATATTCACGACGAGGAGCACAAAACGTTCATGGAGGCTTGCTTCGCTCAACTGCAGGTGTGTCTCTCCAATGGTATCCAGGACTCTGTCAACCACGTAAAAATCCTCGTGAAGGAACTACGAAGAATCACATTACTGTGGGACGAGCTCTGGCTAGCCACTTTCTTCCAACATCACACAGAGATCTCAAAACGCTTCGAACAACTGGAACTCGAGATCCAGAAGGTCCTCGACAACGTTTGGATAACAAGCGAGGAGAAGGAGAAACTAATAACAGAAAAGCACAGGATTATTCTTAAACCGATAGTGTTCATCCTCGAAAACTTATTAGCGATGACATCAGTCCCAGCTGAGACTCCCCACGAGAAGCAATTCCAGGAGAAATTTGGTCCAGCTATAGAGGAAGTAATTAGAAGACTGAAGAACCCGAAGAACCCAGCGAAGCCCCAGCTGGCATCAACTCCCCTCAAACAACTGGAGGCAAAGCTGGCTCAGAGAGTGAACAGACGAGGAGCTTACTCCCTGTCCATGGCAGACATAAGTCCAGTCCTTGCCAGCATGAAGGACACGAAGATAGCGATGCCAGGGGTGTTTGCAGTCGATCGAAATAAGATTGTGACCATCAGATCTGTCGACAACAATGTACAAATCCTCCCCACGAAGACTAAACCCAAGAAACTGATGTTCCATGGCTCTGACGGTCATGTCTACACGTATCTCTTCAAGGGCTTGGAGGATCTCCACCTGGATGAGAGAATTATGCAGTTCCTTAATATCTGCAACACGATGATGTCGAAGAATAACGACACAAGCAGAACATACAGAGCTCGTCATTATTCAGTGATACCACTGGGTCCAAGATCAGGATTGATTCAGTGGGTGGACGGTGTGACTCCCCTGTTTGCATTGTACAAACGCTGGCAGCAACGAGCAAGTGCAATGGCGGGGACTAAAGGGGGCACTGGAACCTCAGCGGTGATGAGGCCCTCAGAGCTCTTTTACAATAAACTAGCTCCTCTTCTGAAGGAACGAGGAATTCCCCTGGAGAATAGAAAAGAATGGCCACTACCTGTTTTGAAACAAGTACTGTCTGAACTGATGGCAGAGACTCCCAAGGATTTGCTAGCCAAGGAGATCTGGTGCAACAGTATCAATGCTGGTAACTGGTGGCAAGCAACGAAGAGTTACTCCTATTCAGTAGCAGTCATGTCGATAATTGGATACATCATTGGACTTGGTGATCGACATCTTGACAATGTCCTGGTTGATCTGAACACTGGGGAGATTGTTCATATTGATTACAACGTCTGCTTCGAGAAGGGGAAGACACTGCGAGTGCCTGAGAAAGTTCCATTCAGGATGACTCCGAATATCAAGACAGCTCTGGGGGTCACTGGGGTCGAGGGGATCTTCAGACTAGCCTGTGAGCATACTCTCAGAGTGATGAGGAGAGGGAGGGAAACACTGTTGACATTGCTTGAGGCCTTTGTTTATGATCCCCTCGTGGATTGGCGAGCTGGGGCTGAAAATTCGATAGCTACTTATGGGGCTTGCCAGGCGAGGGCTAGGTGCACTGGAGTGGGAAGGAAGCAGCTTGAGAAGGAGCTGACTAAGGCGATGTTTGCGGTGAGAACTGTGGAGATGAAGACAGAGTGGCTTATGAACAGAGATGTCATGCTGAGAAATCTTCCAGCATTGTCTAGGCAGCTTGAGGAGTGGTTGAAGACTCATGAAGCAACTCGACAGTGTCAGGATCTGTTGCAAGATCGTCATCAACAGTTGGGACTGATCAAGGAGGCTCAGGCTATTGGGAGAAGCCATGGACTTTACTCAGTGATAAAACGATACAACACTTTCAAACGAACTAGGGACGCTCATGAGAAAGCAAAGGTCTCTCTGCAGGAGAAGATGGAAGAGTGTGAGAAGCAGATCGGCATGCACACCATGGCTCTGGCCGCCATTCGGGGTCCACAACTTGCTAGATGGCTGACAGAACTTGGAACTCCAACTACTGCTCACGAAGACCACATGGTCTTTGATCTTGTGAAAGAGTTTCTGCAAAATGCTGGACAAAACCAAATGATTGTTCAATGTGAACAGTGTGAGAATGAGTTAACACAATTAGCAACTCAGGAAGCTATGCTCATTCGTTCTTCTCTGGATCTGTTGAGTCAATACTCTGCGATTTGTAGTTTTTATCCAATGAGTGCAATAGCCCAGCATCGATCGGTATTGTATCACACCTGGTTGAGCCACATGTTGACGACTGGAACTGTTGAAGTTTGTCGGGAAGTTATGGCTCAATTCGAAATGAATTTCGATGCTCTATCCACCAATGAAGCTAAGGTGCAAAGAACCATGGCCTTTTCTTTTCAAATCCAGGGAATTATGAACGAGACGAATGAAAAATTCAAGAAGTATTATGAGAGAATGGTGACGAACGAAGGACTTCCAGATGCACAGACGAGAATTGAGAAAACTTATGCTGACTCTAGACTCCAGATAAGTAACTTTCTTAGAAGAGAAAAGGGGGCTGACAGAGCTCTGGAGTCTGTCAATATCACAGCTCTCTGTGCATTGAACAAACGATACCTGATAATGGAGGGTGCTGCTAAATGTGCTGGTGAATGTTTAGTGGATTTAACGTCGCGAGAGGGGGACTGGTTCCTGGATGAAATGCGTCTGATGTCTTCCCTGATTGTTGAACTTGTCAGCCTGATACCGTTAAGTTCCCTGGAGGATTTCTCCATGTCGGCATCTCTGGAGTGTCTCAGAAGTGCAGACGAAATTTACAAAGGACTTCAAGAGCTCAACTACAATTTCCAGACGATCATTCTGCCTGAAGCCCTCAAAACCATCATCACTGAGGAGCCAAGTGTGATGTTAATGGTGAACGAAGTGGATGAGATAATCCTGTCAACTGGGATTCCCCTGGTTGAGATACTAAATCAATTGGAGCTGCACTTGAGATTCACCTTGATGGACATGGAGAGTCCTCACGTACTGGTTCAGTCTCTTGTTTCAAATGTTCGACTTCGATTCGATGCTCTTTTGTCAAGACAACCAGAGTTGCGTGAGGTGGATCAGGACTCTGAGAGCTTGACCCCTGGACAGATGTTGTTGATGGGATTTAATGGGCTGTTCGAGAAGCTTCAGATAGAGGCGAACGCTTTGATATCAACCCTGGGCTCCCTGGACATCCCCGCCTGCTGGAAGAAGATCGATCAGATCAGAGAGGCAAAGGAAATAGCTGCTCCGATATTTCACGAAGGGGCTAGACGAGTTCTAGACGATATTTTCCTGGTAAAACGATTGCAAACAATCCGAGAGTTCTTCGCAATGTGCAGGGAGATTGGAAATGCGTTCAAAGGGAATGATGGACCGATGAGTATCTACGACGACGAGAGACTCAACAAACCAGTTAAATCATTCACTGCTGATTATGTATCTAGACAACTGCTGGGGGTGACATCCCAGACATTGGCTATTTTCCTTTGCTTCCTGCTACAGCAAGTGGGTTTGAATGTTACTGAGGAGATTGAACAGAGGGACATTGGTGCGGAGAGTAAAGTATCTTTGGAGGAACTCTGCAGGAAGAATGTTGATACTTGTCTGAAGTCTGGGGTCTTCACTAGCTCTGTCCTGGGGCAGGCTAGCGCCTTCTGCAATGCCCTCGAGGGCGTTTGGAGACGCAAGCAAGGGGCCAGAGCTGCTCAACAAAGTGTGGAGATCACTAGAGCAACTCTGCAAAGACTACAGATTGAATTTACTGCTCATCAGTGGTTGCATGAGGACAGTTTCCTCACCAGGGCTAATATCACCACAATGAACCCACTAAATCGACCAAATTTCATGCTAGAGCTTAGGAAGACTGCGACTGCTCTGACGAGTTTGCAGTCGAGGGTGTGTGAAGCTCGAGAGCAACAGCAGAACTTAGTGGCGAGTGTCGATCAACGCTTGAAGTGGGCTGCTGGGGCCAATCCAGCTCTGGCCGAGGTGATGGCTGCCTTTGGGAATGCTGTGTTGTCTTCCAATGATAAATTGAGTCATCAGAGGAGCCTTGCTATCAGTGTAGCTAATACCTGCAATTCCATTCTTCATTATGAGGCGTTGAGAACGAAAACATCTGAGAGTATGACCAATGATGCTAATTTTGTGAAGCTGATTAAGCAGTGGGAGGAGAGCTGTTTGCTGAGGACAAATTTGTCGGTTAGTGTTTCGATGATTGAAGAGAGTCTTGTGGAGCTGCTGCAGCTGGAGAATAATATTGATGCCAACTGGTTGAGGAGAGCCGAGAAATTGATAGCAGATGCCATTGTGGAGAATCAGAAGGCTCTGCAGTTGAAGCAGGAGTTTCATGTGATGGCGCAGGAGAGACTGAGAGAGGAGCTGGGGGAACTGCAAGGCACTCTGGCAGAACATCATCGTCTTATGACTGATGTCAGGGGTTTGTTGAGGACTATGATGAAGCAGGAGAATATCCCGGGGCTTCAGGAGTTCCTCACTGAGTACAGAGCCTTCATGGAGAGCATTTCAGCGGTTGTGAAGGAACTTGAGGCGGAGAATGTGGAGCAGTTGAGAATTATTGAGGCGAAAGTTGTGATTGATTCGTTGACGGCTAAGGTCTCGAGTCTTTATGATGAGCTGCTCGAGTTCGCCGGTGGATCAACGAGTGTGGGAGCTAGGTTGGGGGAGGAGGGCCTTGCGACTAAGAAGAAGGCCAAACTTGTGAGACAAGATACGAGCGTGTGTCTCAGCCCGAGGAAGGGAATTCCAATGGCCAGAGATCCTACTACAGGCAAAGGTAAGAAGGGATTTTAGTGGGGAATTTTTGGTATCTTGATAATGGGAATGGATCTTGGGGGTTTTGTAAGCTTTACGAAATGAAGCTTGAAATCCTTCCGACGATAAATTTTCTGTCTGTTCTTCGGTTTCTTCTGCAAACCTTGGAGATCTCGTAGATCAATGTCTTCAGTAGAGAATACCGAGGGAAATTTGTTGGGGAAAATGTTGTTGAGCACATGTGAAAACGATTCCCAAAATTTCAAGTATTTTTTTTTCCACGCGAATTTTTGAGATATGCATCGACAAAAATTTTAAAAAGACAAAAATTGAATGTTTGATGATGGATATCTCAAAAATTTGCGTGGAAAAAATACTTCAAATTTTGGGAGTCGTTTTTACATGTCCTCAACAACATATGATCGAAATTTTAGGGCTTCAATTCATTGCGAAATTTTTACCAAGTATAACTCACTGAGGAAATACCTTAACTGAGAGTTGCGGAAACGAAAACGTGGGCATTTTCATGTGGACGTCCGCAACGTTTATGATATTAAATAATTTTTCTCTCAGTGTGCGAAGGAAATACACTCATAAATGAAATTTAATTTCCATGTATAATTTATAATTATTTAATCGTTCGCCTCAACAGCCGTGCAAGAGAGAAATGCATACGCACTAAACGTCTGGCGTCGAGTTCGAATGAAGCTAGAGGGACGTGATCCAAATTCATCGAGAAAGTACACAACGGCCGAGCAAGTGGAGTACGTGATCCGTGAAGCGCAGAACTCCGACAACTTGGCACTGCTGTACGAGGGTTGGACTCCGTGGGTGTGAACGTCGCGGATGCCGGCGCTACCGCGTCGTATGGTTTGACTCTCGTTTATCCAACTCAAAATCACATTGGTACCAACTAATTTTGTACCAAAACAACGTAAAACTAAAATGAAAAAAAAAACAATACAAATGGAAAAAGGTACATTGGCTTGAGCAAAAGTGAGCCAATGCTTCAGTTGCTTTGGGGCAATTATCGTGTGATCACGTGGATTCAGTGTATTCTACATGTGCACTTATTGAATCACGGAGAATTGACAATGTCAAAAGCGTCAAGGCACTGAGGGTACAAGTCTCTGCGATCTACGATGAGTCGTTTCGCACAGCTGAAGAGCAGCGATTAAACTCATGCTCATCCGTTAAACTAACAAGTATCCTCTGTTGTACACGTCTAAACGCATGACAATCTGCGTTTGTCTATGAACAAAGAAGCAAAAAAAAGAAACATGATTCAATGATCTCTGTGTTTCTATTTCTCTCGATGGGAGTGAAATATTAATTTTTTTTCTCTCCATTTGGACCTACTGATAAAACTATTCAATTTCTCTGTTTACATGAAAAAAAAAGGAAAATCAGACAGAAATGTTTGTCTGTCACTTGATAAGGCGGCGCTGAAAATAGTTAAGGGTAATACAGATGAATTTTTCGTATGCTTTCCAGTTTGTGATGAATATTTTAAAAGCAATACTTGCATGTCTTGCATTCTTCAATTTTATGAATAAAAATAATAGACGTTATTTGGAACTTTATATTGAATCGATTGAGTATACCTTCACTTTCCTGAAAAGTCATTTTGAATTCGTACGTTTTGGAAATTTTATAGTAAAAAATAAATCATGAGACGATAGACAAATATTTTTTAAAAGTGCAAGTTTACAATCTTTCTTGTCATTGATATTCATCACAAATGAGCGTAATTTTTAATAGGTGGACACGATTTAGGGTAGCTGTAAGAGAAAAGAAGAAAAATTGGCAAATTTTTTTTGTAAATTCAAATTTCTAACAATTTCGGAGTAACTAGATCTTTGATTTTTGAGATTATTATTGAGGTGAAAAAGGATGGAAAACAAAATCATGATGTAACAAATTTATCGTTTATTTAATATCATTTATTCTCGTACAAGAAAGAATTTTTCTCGATCCTTGGTAATAATCATTCATTTATCAACAAGAACTAAAAACAAAAACAATTCAATACTATCTCTTGACAATTTTAAACGACATAAAAATTCAGATAAACCGATTGGAAAAAAATGAACAAAATAATGCAGTAATCTAGGCTCGATTAAATTTTCATCCCAAAAACCTTCGTCCCCATTGTGGTGTGGGCGCCGCCGAAAGAGCAATTATCAATAAAATTATTATTCTAAAAAAATTTACATGACTTGAATAATTATCACCGTGTATAATTATCCCAAAACTTTACATGATTCTCTGATTTGAAATGATAAAATACGCGGTAATCCGCGTATACTGGTACAAGAATGGCACTTGCCCGTAGATAATCTTTTTCTCACGATAAATTTCATATTTAAATGATGTCATACCTATTTACAAATACGTTCACACAAGGCATTCCCTTTGAACCGAATCCCCACGATATCCTCGCATATTTCAGTCTCAAGAAGAAATAAAATCCCTTTTTTCTATCTCTATCATCTCAATGCAGACGCATATTTCGCATGAAAAACTTGAAAAAATTCAATCGCAATAAATATTCACAAGGAGGAATGCACGTCTCTAGCCGACCTGCGACGCGAAGGCCATGTTATTGCACTCATTCGAAATGTCATTAACTCAGTCACTCGAAAAAGTGAACGAGAAAATGTCTAATTTACCGATTCAATCATAAAGTTTATCGACACTTCGTTCCAATTGATGCTGACTAGACCTACGTGTCCCTTTTCAGCAGCTGATCGATCTGGCTTTTGTACATGTCCTTGACGTCCTCCAGGTCCAATCGCAACTCCTCAGTCTCCTCCACCTTCTCCCCATACATTTGCAACAGAGCGTCGTACCTAGTTTGAATTTCATTTAAATTGGCATTCAAAGCCTCCACTTCGGTCAATTTGGCAGTTAGTTCGTCAACTTTCTGCGATAAATTCGATAGCTCCATTTCCAATGCGTCTCGTTCTTTGTTTCTACGCGATAACTCCCACTGGAGAGTCTGTATTTCACCTGAAAGCGAAGCCGGGCGATTGGGTCAAATGCTCAATACTCGATTAATAATAAATGTGATTGACTCGTCAGTGTATACCTTCACGTGCTTTCAACTGTGCCTGCAGGGTTTCAATAGTCGATGTTGTGTTTGTACTTGTTCTCAGACCCTCGTAAACATTCGGGAAACGTCCTGAGCTTGTATCAAATACGGAATCATTGAACTGAAAGTCAGAATGGAGATTTTCAATTATGCAATTCGATGGGTTTAAGCTTAGGGAGCATTTAACAAACCGATGTTTTATTAAACAAATGTCAAATTTCAATTGATTGAGATGGATCGAGGTGACCGAGGGAAATAATCGTTGACATTCTCAAGTATTAATAAATTTTCTGCCTTCAGAGTTTATTTAAGCTACGCTTTTCATTCAATTTCAATGCACTAAGGAAAAATTGTGACTACTTGTTTTTAAGTCCATTCGTTTAAAATTCGTCATAGGAGTAGTATAAAAGGTGGCAGCTCAATGGAGAATGTTTCAACGAATGAAATGAAAAATTGTGATTGAAAAGAAGCTCCACAGGCAGAATTTTCATTAATATTATGTAATTTTTTTATGGGTCTTTTCACCTATTTAAATTAACGTCCATTAGAATATAATTATTATCATGACTAAATGCTGCGAATTTAGAACTTTATCATGAATTTCAATACAATGAATCTCAGGCAAGTCCACTTCGTCACAGTTTATATCAAGAAAAAAACAAAAGTGTAATTTTTGTGCAACCTCAAGCTTTCCACTGGAGATCCTTTTATGTATTTTCCAGAAAAACAAATTGACTGAGTAAACTTTATTGAATTACTCCCCGGAAATATTGTTATCCTCAGTAATTAAATACTTGATTCAATTGGAGTACTCACCGCCAACCAGACGCTATTCGTGCTGCTAATGGAATCCCTCCTGAGGCTAGAAGTGGGGCTCATTCTCGCCTCCTCCCCCACACCCTGCTGTTGCTCGAGCGATACAATATTCTTCCTCTTTTCCGCGTCAATCGCCGCCTTCTCCACCGACAATTTATCACTCAGCGATTCAATCTCCCTCCTCAATTCCCTCACCTCCTCTTGATGGGTTTTTTCCATATTTCCAATCTGCCCACGAAGGCTTTCAATCTCAACCGTCAACTTTTCACTCTCCAATTTCAAAGCCTCACACGTCTCTTCTAATTTCGTTTTTTCCACATCCTTGCGCTTTGCCTGCGACTCCAAACTCGTTACCTTGGATTTCAAATTCAAATTCTCCTCCATGAGCGAGCGATCCGTAGCGATCGTACTGTCTAACTTGGTCTGCAACTCGTCAATCTTCTCTGACATTATCTTCTCCTGCTTCAAGTAAGCCGACGACTTGTGCGCAAGGTTTGTCTGAAGTTGTTCGAGTTGACGAAGAAGTGGTTGAGTGGCTAGTGACACTGATTCAGAGAGCTCTTCACTCCTCGTTTCAGCAGCCTCCAGTCTCTTCAATAATTCACTCTTCTCCAGTTTGATCGATTCGATCTTCCTCACATGATTCTCCTCAGTCTGACGTAGTTTTGCTTTAAGATCCTCCACCTGTGCTCCCAGCCTGCAGGACTCACCAGCATTGTCTAACGCCTGCTTCAACTCCTCCTCAACAGTGGTGAAATTGATTTTGGTCTCAGTCAATTCAGCTTTAGCAGCATCCAAGCTCATTTTGTAGGCATTCATTTTCTGCACTGTCGTGTCTAATTTCTCCTGTAACATCGTTATGTCCTTGTCCTGCTTCTTGGCCCTCGCCGTCAACGTGTGCACAGCTTCAATTTGACTGCGCTCAACTTCCTCTTTAGCATGTAACGAACGTTTAAGTCGTTCTAATTCGGACGTTAATTCCTCAAGATGGTCCTTCTGAGTTTTCAGTGTTGTCTCATTCTCCTTCTCTTTTGTTCGCAATTTCTTTATTATATTAGAGTGCTGGAGCTGCTGTTTACTCAGCTTCTCGCCCTCTTCTCTCAACTGGTTTATTATCTCATCTTTCTCGGCGTTGGCCGACGACGACTGACTCGACATCTCCTTCTTCAGGGTTTCCAGCTGATCCTTAAGTAGATCGCGCTCTCTGATTGTCTGCTGAAATTTCTTCTCCAGTGCTGACATTCGTTGGGTATACTCGTCGGTTATTACGTTCAAGTCCTGGTGTTGTTGGCCTCGTTTCTCCCAGAACTCCAATTGAATTTTCAGGTGATTGTTCTGCTCGTGCAGCTCCATGTTCATACGACTCACGTCGATCAGTTTGGATTCTCTTACTTCGAGAATTTCATTCATCTCTTGAATTCTTTTTAGGAGCTTCTCGATTTCTAGACTTGCTGCGTCCGAGCCGATGCTTATTTCACTCAGCTCGCGAGAGTGGCCTCGGATTTTCAGGGTTTTGGTGAGGAGATCACTGGCTTTGTTGCAGTGGAGATTCGCTGGGGATTGACGGGATTGCGTTGAACTTGAATCTCCATTTGGACTGAAATAACAGAAAATGTGACGTCCCGTGCGGGTTTATGAATTCATAGACTTTTGAATTGAAAATTTGCCTATGATGTTTATTCATTCGTGCATGCAAAAATTGATAAACAATGAGGAGAAAATGGATTTTTTCCCTTTTTTGGGTTCAAAAGCATACAGTTGAAAAAACTGTCCCATACACGGAGATAAAAGTTCGAACAAATCAAGTAATCGTGGAGTGAACTCGATTTTCAGGACTTTTTCACCCTATATCGGGGGAAAAGTGCGAGACGAAAAGTGAATTTTTTTCCGTTGGCCCGGGAAAATTTACTGAACGTGAGGGTGATTTGTGCTGTACCTGTCCAATCTACCCTGCATGCCATGAAAAAGTATCCCAGTGAATGTGAATGATTGCTCAATATTTCCTATAAGTTTTCTGGAAAGGAGAATGTCTTTTTACTGAACCCGTTCGGTAAAATTTCACCATTCGTCCCCATGATCTTCAGATGGCTGCAATCAAAATCTTCCCCACTCCTCACGCTCCCGTGGGTAAATTGCCGGTTTACAGGGAGGCAAACAAATTTATCTTTTGCTCTGTAGTTTTCCGTGTTTTTGCGTAAAAATTTCCGAATAGTGTATTTTTGTGATATCTGCCTCAAAAGTTCACTTTTCGAAACGGTTTAATGTGGTTGTTTTCCGCACGGCATGCGTCAAGTTCACGAGCGTGCATAAAGTGAATTTCGAGTGCGTAAAGGGAAGCTCTTGAACTTTACCGTCACTACCGTTCCGACCAGTGAACTCGACAGGTATCACAAAAAATAGGATGTGTTACGCGTGCGTGCGAAGAAGTGGTTCTTTACGCACTTGTAACAATATACTATTATGCACGCTCGTGAACTTTACGCACGCCGTGCGGAAAACAACCGCTTTATGCACACTAAACCGTTTCGAACAGTACACGTGATTAGCTCAAGATTGACGGAGTGAAATCAAACGAATTCGTTATATTTCCCAGTTATTATTACCGGCTTTAATTTTCATAGTTTAACACAACTCGCCTCTATTATTTATTAACTTTGTTTTCCTGAAATGATCGATTTCGAATTAATGAAATCATTCGAAATCACCGAAATAATGTTTTCCGAAATCACCGAAATCACGCGAAATCTACTTCATTTCATGGTGTCACTCAATTATGGAGTGAGTAGCCCCTCGCATCAACTTCGAACCCACGCGTTATTGACCAATCCAAAATTAAATGAAAAAATAATCAGCTTCATACCTTGAAATAATTTCAATGTCACTGGAAGTCGTAGTTTCGAGTTCATCGCCACTAGTATGTCCACTGGCATGATCAGAGCCGATTTTCACCAGATCAGAACGGCTCTCCGACGAAATGGGAGAATTCTCCCTGGGCGGGATCTCCATCCCTCGGCCCTCTAGCCCCCCAATGATCTCCCCCTTCTCCACCATGGCGTCAGCCAGCATATTCTTGACATACGAGCTGGAAGTCAAAGGTGCCTCCTCGCCCTCCTCCTCCTGAGTATTCCTGAGCGTCGGGATCTCCTCGGAGCTAGTTTCTATAAGTGTCCCCTCGCAACTGGAGTCTGTCAGGAGAGTTCCAGCAGTCTCAGAACTGCCCCTCCCATACTCCGAGCAAGTCTCATCAAACTCCGAAGGCTCAATAGTAGTGCTCTTGATGATATCAGGATCATAAGACTCCATCTTCTCAGCCAAACACTCGGATTTTCTAATTGGCTGAGTTGTGATGGGCTCCAGAGCCAGATGAAGACTCTGTTTGACATCCTTCAACGAATCCAAATTAGATTCTAACTGGGAAGACACTGGAGCCATGCAGATGGGCTTGCTCTCCCCACTCTCGTACATTTTCCCTTTGCTCTGGTCGATCTGCTGTTGAATTGTCTCTAGGACCGTCATCACAGTCGTGCTCTCTGACGCAGAGGTGTAGGAGTCCTCAGCCTGGCTGATTTCATCAAGCTCATCAACACTCTGAGGCGCTTCGACATTGATCGGAGAAGATGTCTTCTCAACACTGAGGGACATCAGCCTCGTTTGTGGAAGGGACCCAGGAATCTCGCTGTCCTCGATTCTAGGGATTTTAGTCTCCTCCAGGGGCGATGCATATGGAGATATGTCTGACGAGGAGACGTCCGACCCCTGTGTGACATCAGAATCAGGCTCGATCGATGTCGTCCCTCCATCTGGGGATTTCTCTTGGCTGATGGAGAGAAAAAAACTTTCCGACTTTGATCTGTCCTCCAGAATTTCAACTGAACTTGGAGATGTCACTGAACTATCTGGGAGGACCTCCACTGAATCAGAGTTTCTTTTTGCATCGATGGCTGATGCACTCAGTGACGTACTGGGGGATATCAGATCGGATTCTGGAGTCGTTGTGCAGTCTGTGTTGGTTTCTGATCTTGATCCCAGAATTTCAACGCTCTCTGAACTCCTTTTGTCACTTCCCGACGAGATTATCGATATTCTGTTTATCTTCTGGGTCAGGGAGTCTCGTTTTTCTGATATCCTTGAGGAGTCCGACACGATTTTTGATTCTAATTCGTTGATTTCTCGTCTGGGAGATTTCTCCGGCCTCTGGGGATTCTCAACAGCTGCTTGTGGGTTCAACTGTTGAGTTTCAAGATCGTCAGGAATTTTAGCTGCAAGTCTGGACTGCATACGAGTCAGGCTGTCTGGCAGTGACATTGAGGGTGTAATAGCAGTGGAGGGAGACTCGGATTTATCGTCAAACGACTCTGAACGTCTCGGGATTTTTCCTTCCCCATCTTTTCCAGGAGTCTCGAAGAAAGACCCTGTGAAACTCCCCCAGATGCTGCTGTCGTTTTTTCCACTCGTCGAGGCTAGCTCCGCATCACTGGGGAGTTCTGTTTCACTCTTGATGCCCCATGCAGAGAAGAAATTGGATTCGTTTATCACTGCTGCGCCAGCTGCTCTCTGCTCCTCTTCTTTTATGTCCAGGGCCTTGTCTATTGTTTTCTGGGCCTCCTTCAGGGCTGATTTTGCCAGACTGGCGAAACCTGACGCGTCGAACCAACTCATTACTCCTCACATCTGTAAACAAAACGAAATAATCGATTCTCAATTTTGTAATAAATTCTGCAACTCTGAACAAAATGATTTTTTTGAGGGGACAACACTGGGTGAGTTGGATAGGTAGTACTCTCCCAAGGGTCAAAGAACACTTTTCCCACGAGTGTCGAACCCTATTTTCCATCGCAATGTGTGGACAGTGGAATTTTGCGTGCATCAAATTTCACTTTACGCACAAGTGATGAAAAGATATTTTCCCTTAATTTTACGTTTTGTCACGTAATTTTTCTTCACGTTTTTTTTCCAGGACCCTACATTCTTGATACCGTTTTTTTGCAAAGATTTATTGTGACTATAGGATAGCTAAAGATTATCTCAGAATATGAATAATTGAGATGATGGATTGTAAGGGAAAGCTAAGCCATTGTAGTATTGAAAATGTAGCTCCTTCAGTAATGTTTATCTTTTTTAGATTCATCTTATTGATAATTCTCAATGCTATGGTGATAGATAGTCCCAGTATAGACAATTTTGTTTTCAATATTTCAACACATCTGTAAACACAAGGAAATAATTGATTCTAAATTTCGTAAATTAATTCCGAAACTTTGGAAATTATTTTTTCGAGGGGACAACGCTGTGATGCGTTGGATAGGTGAGTCAGCAGCGCAGACACTGGAGTGCGTGGCGCTTGTAATTAAAGGATTGGATGATTTATTGAGGGATCAGAGGCTGCACGAAGAGGTTAGCTCCATCAATTTCCCGTCAACAGGCTCCGGGGCAGAACGGAATTGTCTCGCCATGAAGATTCAATCGTCAGTTGGTTTGAGATTAATTACTTATTTATGGTGTTGAGAAACTAGGATTACGTGACAGTTGTTATCACTGAATGAAGAGAAAATGACACGTAAATCAATTCCTCAACGTCAGGTGACGTGAGTACAAAAAATTGATGAAATCGAGCATTTTCCCACCTTTTTAAGGGGCATTATGAGGTAGTCCTCAGGACATTCAAACACTTCACTAATTATCACTACAAAAACATTGGAACTGGGGTAATTGGCGTGTCCAAGTGATTTAATAGGTTCGAATGCACGGGTGTCACTGACGTACATACACAAAATTTCTGCTCTACCGACTGGGCAGCCCTAGGTACCACCTCCCTGCGACTGCGTCAGTGGCATACCTTCAACACCAGTTGAATTTATTCACTGAAATATTCGAAATTTCGGGGATTTATTGATTGACGAGTGAAAATCGATTTCAGATTTTTGGAACGATTTTTTGGAAATGTTGACAGTTGATAGATCGGGAGAAATAGGGGGCTTTAGTTATCAGGTATGTTTGAGGTCCACTTGGTAACTGCTCCAGTGGCGCAATTGGTTAGCGCACGGTACTTATAAGACAGTGTTCGTGAGCAATGCCGGGGTTGTGAGTTCGAGCCTCACCTGGAGCATATTTTTTCTATTTTTAATTACATTGCAGAAATAATTTTCAAAATCCAGGGAAACTGGCGATGATAGTACCATTCAACTCTCAACTCTTGTTGATATCTTGTTTATTTTTTTTTTCGAGTTACTTGATGTGCTTTTAATCAAAATAATGGAGCTAATTAAGGTGGTGGGAAGGATTATTAAAGAAAAACATTCGGCTGATGTTGGTTTTAATCATAATTTCTTGTTTCTTTAATTCACTTGTTTGCTTTCATCAGGAGATAACATGACAGATGCAATTACGTTATTTTAGTTTCGATTGTTGACTTCAGAGTTTTTTTTCTTCTATCTTACAGTAAGGTGCAACATTTTCTACTAAAATAAAAATAGTTTTTTTTTTCTAGTCCTTTAAATGTGGTACAAACGTAACACAAAGTGCTCACAAAATTCTAGGATACCATTAAATTTGTTTCGCTAATTTTTTCGGTTTTTTCGTTTTTCTTTCGTTCTCACTAAAATAAATTTTATTTTTATCTCGAGGTCTAACGCCTATTCACTGCGTTGCTTTTATTGAGTCGATTATTCTGTTAATTTTTTTTTTCATTGATTCATTTTACTGCGCAGTGATAGTTAGATGTTTTTATGGCAGTTATGATTTTTCAGTGTGTGTTGTCGGTATTTTAGATTTTTTATTGTTGATTTTGTCAAATGAGAAGATAATGTATAATCGAAACTAAATGCTGCAGTGTTCACTCGAAAAAGTTACTATTGTTCCGCTTGAATTGAGTTTTAATGTTTCTCTTTTCGTTTAATAGTCGTTTCTTATTCACCCTCGTTTGATGAGTACTTCGTAACATTACTTCTGTGGATCCTGTAATACTTTTCATTGTCATTCGATCTCGTTATATAACTCGTCATTTGTTCCTTTTTTCGTTTATAAAGTTTGCATCATATGCGAACTCTTCCCTTAATCACTAAATATGATCTTTAAATATATCTGCATTATTCATTTATTAATATACTACTCTTTTCCTCTTACTTTAGTTCTCATTTTATTAATAATCTCTGTGGAATTTTATTGTTAAATGGTAGAAGATGAGCTCTGTAATGTTAATTCATTAATGACTAGAGTCGAACAGTTTTAAATGCATTCAATGTGGTTTGGTACTTGAGATTATTTCGCAATAGCGTGACCAGTTTCTTAGATTTTTCGTCACTGTAATTTTATTCTTTGATCTAATGAATTTAGTGAGATGCATATCGGGTGGAAAGACCACATGCTATTGCAAAAATAATTTCTTGAGCTGGGTTTCAGATGAGCAATCGATGTTCTTCGGCACGATACGATACGATACTGAATGGAAAATTAATGATTCTTCTTTTTTTAAGTGAGATCATCTTTTCAAAATATCTGAAACAAAGAGATGAGATTATTTCAGAAATGACTGGAGGTGTTCTTTTGCATAAATTCTGCATTCATTCAATGGAAAAATCTGATTCTTCATTCACTCGAAACTTTTTTGTTCGAAGCTTTTACGCGGAGAAAAAAAAATCAACGAAAAATGAATACAATCTAGGTAATTGGAGAGTGAAGTTTTACATCAGGATTTTACATTTGAAATCAAGGGAAAAATGTGAAACAAAGAATAAACTTTCCCCTTCATATCGCAATTTTTCACAAACGAGCAAAAAAAATTGTGAGTTGTTAATGAAATCCTCAGTAAATTTTCACCGTGCACCATTCAGTAATTTTTGCAGTATTTTTCATGCAGTTTTTTGTCGTTTTTTTCCTCCGTTTAGTATTTTTTATCATTTTATCATCTCCTGACACAAAAAAACTACCTCTGGAAATAAAAAATTCTCACTTCAAGGAATTCGTACAAGGCCTGATATTTGGCTCAAGAAATTACTTTTGTACTTTTTCTCAGTGCATTGAGCCCTCCGTTCTTAATTATCTCCTTCCGCTCAGCATATTTTCCCTTCCAATCTCATTCGTATTCGTAAATCCCTAAAATATTACCTATTAATTCACTAATTAATGAAATTCCGGTCGACGAGAAATGTGAGGAGAAGAGCGACGATGAATTCTCTAGCTTCTGACGCACGCAGTTAAAAGTTGCATTCGCAGCTCAGAGATTTTTTTATTCATTTTTTTATCACAGCCAAATCTATGTACATATGGTAACGCGTAGGCACACACGTACAATATGCATTTATACATATTTACCAACCGTGTATTAATGACATTATATTTTCATTGTCGATGAGCGATGAAGTTGGGAATAGTTGGCAAAGGTCGATTAAACATTCTCGGGTGGTTATAACTCACATTAATTACTTAAACAACGTGGTTTTTCTTTCACATTAAACATCTTCCATGATTACAGAGTATTAGGTAAGTTTCTATAGGATTATACTGCGAATTTATCATCCTTCTGTTCCTAAATTACGTGTTAATGAGTGTACATGTAGCGAGGCTAGAGTGTTTTACAGAGGAACTCTTCTCCAAAATTCCTTGACAATCGTGTGGTCTACAATTTTCCGTGAATGAGGCGAATGCAGAGATTGAACTTGTGCACAATAAGATACAATGTCAATCAGTGTATGTAATTAAAGGATGAAAGTAATTTGATCGAGTTACCGAGGAAATTTTCCAGTTTCACGAAGTTGTTGACGGATTCCCCTGCGGTTACGGTGAATACATGACAAGTAATACTGAATTAGCTACAAATTGGACAAATTTATTCACCTCTGCCTTCTCCCCAATCACATATTTCGGTCATTCATTGTATTCTACCCACTCAAATCCAGTTAACAGTTGCAAAAAGCTCCACTTCCATAATTTCCCTAAATTTTTAAATACCCCTTCAACGTCAGTATTTCAACTTTACGCATTGTTAATCCCTCATGATTAATCTACTTATGTTTTGACGACGTTGCACGATAATCATCGCACGATAGAAAGAAGAACTATATAATAACTCCGCAAATGTCATCTATGACAAATCTACATTATACTTTCCAACGTTATGGAATAACGACTCAGTGGCTCTATGACTTTGTCTCCATTCGCTCTCGTTTAACTTTACGATATTCTAGTATGTGTGTATGAAGTCAATGGGTTTATTTCACTTGCCAATTGGTTTTTACTCTGTCTCCTCACCCCTTCCCCCCCCCCGTCCACCTCACCCCTTTCTCATCCCTCTCTTTACCCTCAAAGAGGGACAATTATTTTAACGTGTAACTCCGTCGCACCTCCCTTTTATTCCATCTTTTTTTTTTTATTCATAGCAGTAGAACGCCGTCCCCCGAGGGGTAACGCTGAGGCATTTGTACCACAACAGTTTGTTTTAAAGCTTTTTTCATTCATGAAAAAGAATTTAAAAAAACGTAAAACGAGAAATGAAATTGTTTTTTTCTCTTTGTTCGATTACAGTGAACCGGATGACGCTAGAGGGGGGGGGGGCTGGAAGCCACAGAAAATGAAATTCAATGGTCAAGGCAGAGTGAATCGACACTTCGTGCTAGTTCGAAGTTCGTGGGGCGAAAAAAAGGCAATGAATGAAAANGGGGGGGGGGGGGGGGGGGGCTGGAAGCCACAGAAAATGAAATTCAATGGTCAAGGCAGAGTGAATCGACACTTCGTGCTAGTCCGAAGTTCGTGGGGCGAAAAAAAGGCAATGAATGAAAAAACAACTCGAGGATGAAAAAAAAATCAGCAACTCTCATTAAGAATTCGTGTACGTATGTCAATGGCACTCGTTAAAGAATGCAAATGTTGTCCCCCCCCCCCTCTTTCGTTTCTCCTTTGCTTCCCTCATTTGCCTTGAATTAATTACGACAAAGTACGATGGAGTTTAAATTAGTGGACGGTGAAACCAGCAGCAGCAGCAGTAGCACGAGAATGAACGTGTGTTATGTGTGAAGTCCAAAGCTAAACAGTGGTCTCCCGGTCAACGTGAATGTACTCCACGAAGCCGGGAGGCGTTTGTCAGGACGAGCCGAGTAATGATTCCTCAGTTGGTGCTCTTCGCGGTGTAGCCCCCGATCTCCTGAGACTCTCGTCATTGTAGAGCCTTTTAGCGCGGGCCTTTGATCTAAAAATTTATCAAATGTACACATTTCATTATTCAGATGTTCCATTAAGGTAGACCAAGGGGTAAAGTGAATGGTGGTTGTTGATAGAATTTTCGTCTGATCCAATAATGGAAAATGGTTTGTCGGTTTCAATTTGATTACTTTACGAAATGGAAAAACAAACAGAAAGTGTAAACACTCCGTCACTTCTACAACTCTGCAAAGATAGGGAGGGAGTTCGGTTATAAGAAGTCTGTCTAGATAATTTAAGGAAATACTCTCTCCCAACTCACTCCGCGGTAGTGAAAATTTTATGGAGTAACATGCTTTTCACTCTATAAAGTCCCCCAAAATTTTTTTTCTGTTTTTCATACGTATGTAATGTTTTGAAATAGTCGGCCTTAATCCCGCAAATTAAAAATTGTGGCGCTTAACACTGGATGAAGTCACTTGATACCCCGAAGCTTCAAACTCTCTTAATTTTCAGTATCCATACCAATAAGTCAGTCTGTTATTATGATTACTGAAATTTTGATCCCTATAAAAATCTCTCGGCAAAAAAATGAGGATTTCCGGAAGATTTTACTCTACTCTAGAGACGCGAAAAATTTATGAAATTAAAAATTCATTTATTCATGATCCATTGCGAATGAAGTAAAACAGATGCTTAACTTTATTCTTTGGAGTGTAACGAATATTTTAAAAAACTAAAATCATATGAAAGCTACGGCGCAAGGAGCACTTTGGAGGTAAAAACAGGAAAAAATGAAGTTTCCCCAATTATTCCCATATTCGTCATATATCACAAACTGTTCAATGACTGCCAAGGCCCAGTGAAGACTTTTAAATTTACGCATCCTATTAACGTATCCTATTAAGAATATTTCTGTGTCTAAAGAAATTGATGAGGTTTTAGATAAATTGAGACTTTGAGAAATAAACTGAAATAGAAAATAAAGAAAGCAATTTATTGCATATGAGGTATTCCATGCCAAATGAGTCAAACGCTGACCCTCACCCTCTTGGAAATTGATGGCAATTTTTTCTACGATTGGAGAGGTTGAAAAACTATATGTCAAATTTTTTCAGATTTTTTCGGCAGCCCAGTTCGGAGATATGATTTTTGTTTCGTTTTTCCGGTTTTTTTCAATAACTCGAGTTCTATCCATCCGATTTTGATTTATTAAGCGTCAAAATTTTTCATTTTTTGCTGCCTATAAGAATATTTTTAGTGAATTTTTTTTTTTCGATTTCTAGATGCGCATAACAACGACTTTTCGAATAAAAAAGTTGAAAAACTTGAATTTTGCAAATTACGTCACGGATGATGTTTCATTTTTTTTCAGTAATTCTTATAATCAAAACAAGTATTTTGAACCATCATACAAGTTGGGTATCGTCCTGGATCTATTTTATTTTCAATTTTTTCGTTTCGAAATTCCGTAAATTTGGTCGTAACACCTGAAAATGGCGTTGATTGACTTTGATTATAGACAGTATGAAGTGAATTTGATTGCATACTTATATATTACATATTTTTCCGATACATAATCGAAGTCGTTTTGTGGTATTTTGACCAAAATTGCGAAATTTCCAAAAGAAAAAATTAAAAATAACATAGATCCAGGAGGATGCCCAACTTGAATGACAGCTCAAAATACTTGTTTTGATTATGAGAATTACTGAAAAAAAAAATTTTAATATCAACCGTGACGTAATTTGCAAAATTCAGGTTTTTAAACTTTTTTTTTCGAAAATTCATTATGAGCATCTAGGAATCGAAAAAAAAATTACTAAAAATAGTCGCATAGGCGGTAAAAAATGGAAAATTTGGACGCTTAATAAATCAAAATCGGACAAATAGAACTCGAGGTATAGAAAAAAACGAAAAAATGTAAAAAAATCACATCTCCGAAGTGGGCTGCCGAAAAAATCTGAAAAAATTTGAGAGATAGTTTTTCAGCCTCCCCGATCGTCGAAAAAATCGCCATTAAATTCCAAGAGGGTGAGGGTCAGCGATTGACTCATTTGACGTGGAATACCTCATATTGTTATTCCTCGGTTCCTCCTGCTAGGGTACAATGCGACATGCTTGGAGAGAAATCGGCCGATGGAGGCGCAATAGGGTATGATAAAAACCCTCGGGGAAAAAAAAGAAGCACTTATACGTACTTGCACATAAGGATACTGAGAAGACATGCGAAGGCAGTGAGTATACCGGCACCAGCAGCTACAACGAGCCACATGCCAGGGGGTAGAAGACCGAGTAATCTAGCACCACTGCCACAATTCGCCTCGTCATATCCCGAGGGGCAATGAATTCTACCATCGCACCAGAGACTGGGGGCAATACAAGCTCCAATCTCGGGACACGTATGCAGGCAATCGCCCGTACCAATGGTGTCATTCTCACTGACACGTCCTGGAAGACGTAACTGTCTACGAAGGGCCGAACGTGTCTTTGATATCTCAAGCCACGATGCTGCCGCTTGTCCTGGCTCTCTGGCAACAAAATCAATGAGAAGTGCAGCTGGACGTGCCGGTGACAGCCATCTCTCATCAGAATTACCAGCTGTCAGCAGCCACTCCTCGGAGAATACGTGTACCGTGTAATCACGTGCACCAGGTTCTGCTGGACAAACAACCTTGAGTAATTTAGCCGGCCAACCGGAGTAAAGGAGAATTCTATTTGCCGTTGGACACTTTGGTGTTGTTTCAGACGTCTCTGATGGCTGTTGATGTTGGGAAAAAGAGGACAATGTCGTTGATATCGGCGGTGACAGTGTCGGTGGTGGCTCGAGGGGTAAAAACCAACCCCAAGTGAGCACGAAAAGTGAACGATTGTCTCTGGCTTCCACCAGCCACGGCATACCCTCGCAATAAATGTCTGGCCGAGACAGTGGAGGCACCACGAATCTCAATTCACCACCTGTGACGAATAAATTTTACCAACCATGAAATTTACATAATTATACTTGTTAGTTGATTATGCACCCAGGCATAGAAACTCAACCCTCACTCCCATCGAATTTCTCTTCACTAACGTCTGCCGTCTATTCACTCTAGACTCTAGGTAAGCATTATTTGTATACATATTTATAAGTACTTCGAGAGGAGGAAGCCCGGATTACGTGGAATACGAATGAATATATAGGTAACGGGAGCATTGTACGCTGGTTCATTGCCAAAGTGGCTTATTGATAAGCACCTTGTATCGAGTGGTGTATCGTTTTATATATTGAGCTGTATTGCCGATCGTCATTCAACTGAAATATGGCAAAAATGACACTGAAAATGTTTCATTGGAGGTAGAAATTTATTGGGTTCCGATGGATTATAGTTTTTCACGGTCAATAGAATTTGTGTACTTCTTTTTTACACTGAGAGAAAATCAAACAAGTCTGATTTGGACCAACAAAGTCGCTAGTTGACAAGTGTCAGAAAGGAAATTGTTTGATTCAAATTTGAAAGTTTCAAATATGAAAAATAGATCTGCTTTCGATGACAACGAAATATTTGGCTTCACGCACAAAAAATAATTAGAAAAAATTCGATTGGATTTATATTGAACTTTCTATTAATTATTGAAAATATTTAATAGAAAAAGTCAAGAGAATTCGATTTTTCTATATAATTTATTCTCTGTAGATACTTTGTATAAAATTTCCTCGGCTCAAATTTTCCAAGTTATTTTCATTCTATTTTCTATTTCTTCTCATCAAGAAAATCAAACACAAAAACTTGGAAAATTTGATCCGAGGAAATTTTATAGAAAATATCTCAATAGAATAAGTTGTATAGAAAAATCGAATTCTTTTGAACATTTCAATAGACTCGACCAATAACTAATAGAAAGTTCAATAGAATTGTCTAGCGAATTCGCTAGGTTTTTCTGAAAATATCTCATAGAGAAAAATTTATCAAGAAATATTTTGTCAAGAATTCATTTCTTGTCTGTGATTATTGCACAGCCGAACTGAAAAACTGCTATCCCTTGTTTCGCGTAAAACGAACATTTTTCGGGGGCAAACACGTATGAGAGTATCGAATAATGAAGAAGAAGCGCTAGAAATTACGTTTTCATCACGCTGTGCGAAAAAGTAACTTTTTTGGGCACGCTTCGCGTGCCCAAAACGTCCCTTTTCCACACATTGTGAAGAAAAATATCGTTCGATACTCGTGGGAAAAGTGTTTTTTCGCCTTCGGCTCGTGCTATAAACCTCCCACGAGCCAAAAAACTCTTTTCCGCACTCGTAACAAAATATACTATTTTTGTTTGCACAGAGAATACAATTTACTTGTAACTACTAAATCTACTTTTGCGACAAAAATTTTCCGTCGCAGCGTAAAAAATTATTTTTTGAAAATTAAAAAAACTATTTATCGGCACAAGTAAGACTTGTTTGAGAACTCTGTCGTTTTTCTCTCAGTGTACGCAAGAATTTCCACCGAAAGCTTAATTTCGAAAATACTCAGCTATTTGAAAAATCCGTTTAATAGAAAGGACTGTGAAAACGTTTTCCCCTAATTCCTAAATCTTCCAAAAATCCCAAAAGATAGTAAACACTGCACAACTAAAACTCTCACCTTCACCCCTCAGCCGTTGTTTCCTCGGGCACTCAGGCACACGGATGAGTTCAAAACTCGCATAAAAGAATAGTGTCTCAAAGTCCTCGTGCGGTGCTTGCTGATTAACGACAAAAGTAATCTCAAGTGCTTTACCCGAAGATATATGTGTCAAAGGTAGATGTGATGTATTATCACAGAGGCATGCACGCTGTAGTTTAGCATCCCTCCACGGTACCTCGAAGAGGGTCAACTTTGCTTCTCGAGAGTTGGTTTCGGTAAGACATCTGGGTCGGCCAGAGTGAGGATCAGGCTCGCTGATGCAGCTCGTTAAATCACCAAGTGACACATTGTGAATTGTTAAACGTACACGTTCCCCCGGTCCGGCCTCGATTCTATAGGCACAGGATAAATTTTTCACCCCACCTCGACCAAATAAACGGACATCCCTGGGTGATGTAATCTCGCCACTTCTCACTCTCCTCCAGATTCTACTGCAAACACCGTCGCCCCACTGTTCTCCACCCTGAAGGGTTGAAATGAATTCATATCTCGCTTGAAAATTGACATTTCTCAGCGATGTACCGAGCAACATCTCTGCACGTATCGTGAGTGTCGGCGATGCAGTCAAATAACTCTCCACCGGTGTACAGGGCCTCGTGGATCTCGTCAAATTTCTCAAGGCAGCGTGTGCACACAATCTCGGTGTATCATCGCACAAGCTCGTAATGAATGTACCAGTATTTGCTGGGCCATCCCACAGTGTCATTTTTACGGAGCACTGGGGTGCACCAATTTCACTCTCCCGTAATGTGGATGCATTGTCTATACTACTACCACCAGTTAAATCCCTCTGGGAGTAGGATGAAAAATACAGCCACACACGGTCACCTACTGAGCCCCTGAGATTCCAAGTACACACTGAGCCCAGTGGTAATGTGTGCTGAGGTGCACGAAGTATACCGCTTCTCTTTGCCGTATCGTTAACGTAAAAATGACATCCCTGATCGCCTCTTGCATAATCCAAGCCATCTGAATCAACGTAAACAACTGGTATCTCCAATTCCAGTCTTAACGGTGATGAGCCCAGTGGAATTGGCAGGGGTGATGAGCGGAATTCAATCAACATAGCCGGGCCGCGCGCGGTTATCCTCGGAAGTGGTCCACCACAGTAAACCAATAGTATAGAGTCCTCCAATCGTGGCCCATCTCTAAAAACTAAACGATCCTTCTCAGGTGGGCAGTCGTGCCAGACACTCAATTTATTCGTATGATTTTGTCCATTGGTGTGGCCATTGTTCTCCACAACCACTGATGAATTAGCAGTCCCATTGATTAATGAGGATGAGGAGCCCACAAAGCCGGGTAGTATTGGTGCACCAGTGGCAATATTACCCATACCACTGCCAGCCTTAACCGATATCATCGCGTGCTTGCAGGTAGGTACGAATTTTTGCCTCACTGTAATGATACAACTGGCATTTCTCGGATACTCGCCCGGATAATTTGGACTCTGCACGCGGCACTGTTTCTTGTGGCATTCATAGAAATTACGTGAACAATATGTGCTGGGTACTGGTGAGCCACGTTCAATTGTTAATCCAGGTGGTCCAAGTCTAGCGACAGCCTCATTACGTGATAAAAAACGATACCTCAAGCGAAATTCAAAGGGCACTGATGAGGGCGCATGAAAGAGTCTTATTGATGCTGTTACTGTGCTTGTTTCACTGTAGTATGTGGCACGTCCTTCACTGGCACCACACCATGAGCCACCGGTGAAGGGACGACCGAGATCCGAGAGCTGGAGTGAACCCTCAGGGCAACTTGCGTACACAGGCTCGTCGTCGTCGTCGTCGCCGTTGCCGTTTGTTGTTTCGAGTCTGCCAATGCTGAAGGCATCCCAGAAGAGTTGCACGAGTTCACCGTGACTTGATCCACCAGCGGTAAATGTCAAGTGGCATAAAAACGGTAAACGTCCCTCGGTTGGACGTGGCAATTCTAACTCGTAAGTTCTGCCCTCGCGACCATGATAAGTACGATTGCATGGGGTGCAGAGTGCCGGCTCGTCACTCCCATCGCCGCAATCATCGTGGCCATTGCAGTATGCATCCTGCGGTACGCATCTACCATCGCGACATGTTAATTCAGCAAGATCACAGTGGCTCGATACCATTGGTAAACAAATTCCAAGGATTGTTAGCCAAATAGAATGGTGGAATAGTAAATCATTGACACGTCTCCTTCGGCGTTTTCTACGCCTCCATTCGGGCCTCGGACCATCGTCCCTCTTCATCCCCTGTCGAAATTAAATGCATGAGTTATTACAGCAGCCCTTGAGTAGTTTTTTCATCCTCATTCGAGCAAATGACCGGGGGAAGGGAATTCAGTCGAAGGTCAACAGTTGCTAATCCTGTCGCATTATCACACCCAGTGGTCATTGTTTATAATTAATAATTGTGTCAGTCAGTCATTCTGATTTCTACTTCGAAGGAAAAACCCATGGAATTCGGTGGAATAAAAAATCCTTCGGATATTGTCATGTGGACAAATGGTAAATTGAATTGGACGCGGGGTGCCCGTAATTGAATTGATTGGTACGTGTGCACGTGTGAAGTGCACGAAGGAGCAATACATACACCAATACCGATACACGTGTGCAACGAAGGGTAAAGCCACGCGACGGTGCAAATCCCCGTGAATAAATAATTAACACGCGACGTGATTCGACACTTGGTACTTTGTTCCAAGAAATACTGAAATGCCTACAGCAAACAAAATCAGTGATGATAAAAGCCCACAGATGTGCATTTTATATTGAAACGGGACTTCAGGAAGTTAATGGTTCACAAAGCATCACTGATACAACGCATTCCCCTCCCCGAGTCAGCTGGAAATGTTAAAAGGACGATAAAAGGCGTATGATATTTAAGCACATTTGATTTACCATTATTGGAGGTGGGCGTTATTCTCATCACACCGTAGTAATATGATTATGAACGGTGACACTGGCGCTGTCACTTATGCACAACCACATTTGTCTCACTCTCAACATTACCATCGTCATCATCATCATCCCCATTATTTTTGTATCTCGAGTAATTATCACGGCTCGTGCACACTGGGCGCAGCATCCGTACAACTGTATCTGTCGACCCCTCGAAAACGCAGTGCAAAGGAAAAATGGTTTCTCAAAAAAAAAAAAAAAAGAAACAACACGTACAGCAAAACGAAGGGTGAAAAAAAATACGTTAAAATCGTGAGAAGGCTGAGAGACTAACGCAGCCACCACCAGCCACCTCTAGTTCGTCACTACCCGGCTGACTCTGGCGTTTTCCTCCCTTTTGCCTCTTCTCTGCTATCCCCATTCCCTCTACTCTCCCGCCCCTCTGATAACCCGACCCTTCCCTTCTCTGTGCCTCTTGGCGCTTCTTTCTCGCACTCCTTTTGCGCCGAACCACTGAACGACCTCAGCCAACTTGACCGCCGGCTGAATGAGAGGAGTACACCCCCCTTCCTTTCGCATTTCCAGCTATCCCCTTCTTTGCCAACATTCTCATCAAGTAAACCTCCCTCTCCTTCTTTCATGCAGATTCGAACAAATTCGTTCCTACCACCTTTCGAGCTGCACACCGTGTATCCTTCGTCCCTCCGACACTCCCTCCACCCCCAACCCCCCTCCACATTCACCACCTATTCACCCCCCCAATGTGCGCGTATTTGCGCCTGTTCCCATGCGCGGAATTCCAGTGTATATACACTTGTTTACTGCGTGCAGCCAATTTCGATATCTCTCCCGGTTTTTTTTCTCGTCCGACCATTCGTCCATTTCTACTGCAGACACTGTCCAGTAGAAATGGAACATTGCTCTCGACTCAGTACCCCGTATTCTCGCCACGTACTTTCAATTTTTATTGCTGTCGCTCTTGATTTTTATCCCCCCCCCCCTTTTTTTTACTCCTCTCCACGTTTTTCCAGGCATCGTTTCGCCGTAGTTGGCATACAACGAAGACGCAGATGGTTGCGCCAGAGTGCCTCGTGGTCGAGCGCTAGGCCGGGTGTCTCGAGCTTGCCTCGGGGCGCGATAGAATCGATCGCCGGCGTATGTCTCTCTCGTCTCTCTCTCTTGGGCTCTCGGGCTTTTACCAATCGCGTATATAATGCGAAAACACGTTGTATATATCTGAAAACCATTGCAACCCTCCTCCAAGTACTGATACTTGATGGAATTTCACAGTCGTAATCGAGCTTTTACCCTCTTCCACAGACGTTTCAACCCCTCAAAAGGCCTGACTCTCTTTATGCTCCACGGGAAAAGATTTCTACGATTCAATCTGTGCTCCCCCCCTATTTTATTTCCCTTTTCGGTCTTTTCCTCGTTCTGTATTTCTTTTTCGACTTGTGCCCCTTGCATTTGGGCTCAAGAAAACCATTCCCACACCCGCGCTTTTTGTTTGCGCAAGGGAATCAGGTCGAGGGTGAGTTGACGAAAAAAAAATAAGAATAAAGGGGAATGGGAGAATCGGCGGGGAATGTGTAGGAAAGCCAAGAAATGAGTATTTTATCTGCAGTTACTGCATCTTTATTCTTAAATCATTACAATACTATTCATAATAAATATTTTTCATCCAGCACACGCTGAGGATTTTAATTTTATACAAATTTTTCATCTGCATACTGTTGGTGCATGCTGCAATTGTTCGAAATCCGAGGGGAATACAAACACCGATGATAACACATTCGTTCAAATATTTACAATGCAACGAGGGTAGCAAAAAATGAATGGGATGAAAAAAAAAACGTGAGGAACAGAGAATGGATCATCGTCAACTGAATTTTCGTCAGCTCAAACCATAAAATACCAAATAAAAACTTCAGTCTTGTCTGTCAAACGATGTACGTATGAACAAAGGGAATGAGTGAGACCAAAAGTGAATTTATGATAACAAAAGGGAGTAGCATTAGTCCCTCAGAATGCGTATCGTGTCCTGACATCTTCGAGTTTCTTGGACACTTCAGATGATGTTCTCTCAAGATCTCCAGCGATACTCTTTTGCTTGGATGGTTCAATGGAATTGAATTGCTCGCAGAGATCCCCATCGATGACATTCTTCACTGGATAGTAGTACGATCGAAAGGAGAGATGATCCCTTCCACAGAGTGGTGGATGTTCAGATCTCATGTGCATCTCGAGATGTTGAAAGAAATCGTGATCCTCGTGGCTAGTGAATGGCACAAGTACACCGACAGTGCCACTGAGAGTCGTGTAGACGAGACTCTCAGAGCCTCCAGGTATCAGTGTAGCTTTTTGCAGTGACATAACAGTCTCACCAATGTGAAAACAAGCAATAGTATCGGCTTTTTGACTAGCTCCATTGAGCAAACCACGATCCCACAGTGCTTTGTTACCAGTTGGATCCTCATCAACATCATCATTTATACCACTGGCCAGCCTCACCACAGCAATATTACCGAATTTATCAGCTGTTGCAACTGTATCGTAATCCAATACACAAGTGGTAGTTATCCATCTTGGATGTGTGTCATCCGCAAATACAATTAATTGATTCTCCTGTCGTTTGTATCTGACTGCATACACAGACTCCTGCACATCGCTCACGTAAATCCTCTGTCCAACGGCATTTATCGATACAACGGCATTTGGTATGTGTTTATTCTCACATTTACGTAGAAGTTTCTTCTTTCCCATATCGTACAATCGCAGCATTCTACCAACTCCCACCAGCACACGTCCCTGATACGAGCATATTGCAAGTGGAACTTCGTCCACTGGGGTTTTGTGAAGCAGTTCAATGCTTGTGCCCTCAGGATTGACTCTGCAACAATAGATTTTTCATTCAATGAAATTGTTGAAAAAAACTGTATTCAATGGTGAGAATAAAGGGGGAATGAACTCAGTACTGCAGGTTTATCATCAATTTCGACAGTTCGTGTGATATTGTCATCATAGGAGTTTTAGTTAATCAAACTGATCAGAGTTAGCGCAAACTTTTAAACTATTGGAAATTAATTCCAAATTTCCAACAATAGAACTGAATAATCCATAGAAATTTCCGCTCTAAATTCTCAGGACTCTCTTTCATTCTCCCAACTAGAGTGATTGGAGTTTTAAAAATAAACTCTGCCGCCCCCCCCCCCCCCAAAAAA